CTTTGAGGTCCCTTCCAACCCAAAGCGTTCTGTGATTCTGTAAAAACTCACTGGTGTGGTAGATCTCACTGGCAGGACTGCTTGTTCTGCAGAGAGCTTATAAAATCTCCATCCTTGGAGATATTCAAAATTTAACTTGACAAGGCCCTGTGCAAATGGCCCAACTATGAAGTTAGCTCTGCTTGGAGCAGAAAGTTGGTCTAGAGATTTCCTGAGGTCCCTTGCCACCGAAACTTTTCAGTGCCCCCATCAAGGAGTACCTCTGTCACAGTGAGGTGTGGGTAAGCACTAGGCCAAAAGGGAGCAGACCTGAGCTTAGAGGCACGTGAATGGCAAGAGAACAAGAGACAACAGGCATATTTTGAAACAAAAGAGGTTCACAGTGGACAAAAGGAAAAGCTTTTTCCCTATGAGGACAGTCAGGTAGTGGAGTAGTTTGCCCAGAGAAGCTGTGCAGTCTCCATTCTTGGAGGTTTTCAAGCCCTGACTGAATAAAGCCATGAGCAACCACGTCCAACCTCAGAACTGATCCTGCTTTAACAGGAGAGATGAATTGGAGACCTCCTGATGTCACTTCCAACTTGAATTACTCTATGATGTCCATTTGGTTAGCTATTCCTCCTTGAAAGGCATTGATAATACCTCTGCCTTTGCTGTACTGCACATGGACATAGCACACTCTCGGGAACTGAGACAAAATCTAAAGGGATTCACAAAGAACAAAGAAGAACAAAGACCCAGAGGTTCCTAATTTCACACAACACTGCTCTCTCAAGTCCTGTTCCCTAAGATATCAGCCAAATAATCTGGATTGTTCTTATAGTTTGAAGTTTTGTCCCTTGTGAAGACCAGGGTATATGATGTTCTGTGTCTGAGAAGTACTTTAAGATTTGTCCACCTTCAAAATCGCACCCGTTTCCCCTTGCTATTTCAGAGTCTGAAGTCACAGCTGCTACTTTGAAAAAAAAAGGTCTCTGCCGTCATCCTTCCTTCACTTTCTGCTTGGTAGAAGCGAGTGCTTCTGCCTTCCCACGCGCAGGGGATCCACCATCTGCCTGGGCAACAGCTGCACATTCATTCCTCTGAGGGCAATGGTAGGCCCTGGGTCTGGGAAAGCAAAACAGAATGCCTTCGTTAGAAATGAGCTTTCAGTTCTGAAAAATAGTAGCCAAAATTCATACTGCCTTTTAAGGAGAAAAACTCATGAATTACAGTAGCTCTGGCTAACAGGAAGTCTGAGAAGGTGGGGAAGGGTGTATGTGATGCACGCATGAGAAATAAGGGAAGAGACAGATGAATAGGCTAAAGAGCATTGAAGGATATATGCTGGGGCTGCAAAAAATCTGTGTCAGTCTAAGGTACGGTAAAGGGACCAGTTACATACTCCTTTATTTATTTAAAGCCTAGAGAACTCATGTATTTTCTTGTTTAAAAGTGGAACATTCTTTCAGCAAAATGATAAGCCTTCTTTTTAGTGAATCACTGAGGAAAGAAAGGTGATTTTGGATTAGGAGGAGGAGAGACCAAAAATCAAATGCATCTTTAAAGAAAACTATTTAATCAAAGCTGGATCTGAAAGATTAGATTCTACATCTCCATCTCTGAGCTGGTTAAGATCTTTTAATCTATATAAACCTGTACTTCTTGGGTTTGTAATGATTGGCTTGGGGATCCATTATAACAAGGTAGCATTTGACTACTGTTTACTGCTGTGGGATTAACATTACTCCTTTGCAATTTCAATTCACCATACAGATCTTTTAACTACATACTGACAAGCACTGTAGAAAATGAGACAAGAATCTTTTCCTGAAAGTATCAGGTACTGACCACAGTCAGAGGTGAAGTGCCAGCTCAGCTGAATCAACAGCCTTTCCATATACAAGACTAAGTGCTTAATACCGCAGTGCTCTAGCAAATAATACTATTTGAACCAGGGTGCCTGGCTTTTTAGCCTTATGTTGCTGGCAGTAAAAATTAGGTCAAAGGCCTTTGGTGGTGGTGTTGTATATGTATTTACAGATGGTGTTTTCTACTTCCTTCCAGGTCTTGGCTTTTGTTACTCTATTATAAATGGCCCTACTAATGCAACAGTCCTTGCTGGTTCAGAAGCCCACTTTAATTGTACTGTGTCAGTAGGATGGGTAATTCTCATTTGGCTGTCCAATGGAAATCCTGTCCTCACTGTCATCAATTCTCAAGGAGCTGTTGAAACATCGGACCGCTTCACCTCTCAAAATTATACCAATAGCAATGGGTTTACCTCAGAGCTGATCATCCACAACACACAACTGAGTGACTCTGGAAAAATTGAATGCAGCACCCAGCAACCTAGTGAGAGCAGCTTTGCATTTCTCTCTGTTCAAGGTGCGTATAGCCATCAATAGAAAGCTATTTTATTATTCTGCACTTAAAGGAATCCTCTGATGGATTGCCCAAATTATCTGTCTGAAGGAGTACATGCTCTCATTTACCATCCTTTGCTTCCTGTCCTCATCTCAATTTTACTGTCCAAGCAGGTTTCAGAGTCACATTCAGTGTGCCATTAACAAAGGTTTGAACTGCCCTTGTTTTTTCCTGTTACATATCTTATTCTTTATTGACTTGCATTGACGTGCTTGAAGGGTATATCAGGCTGTCGTGGTTTTACCCCAGCCGGCAGCTGAGCACCACGCAGCCACTTGTTCACTCCCCCCCCATCGGGATGGGGGGAGAGAATTGGAAAAGTTAAAGTGAGAAAACTCGTGGGTTGAGATAAAGTTTATAGTTTTACAGTTCAATAGGTAAAGCAAAAGCCGTGTGCACAAGCAAAGCAAAGCAAGAAATTCATTCACCACTTCCCATGGGCAGGCAGGTATTCAGCCATCTCCAGGAAAGCAGGGCTCTGTCACGCATAACGGTTACTTGGGAAGACAAACGCCATCAGTCTGAATGCCGCCGCCCCCCCAAAGCTCCTTATAAACTGAGCATGACATCATATGGTATGGAATATCCCTTTGGTCAGTTTGGGTCACCTGTCCTGTCTGTGCCTCCTCCCAACTTCTTGTGCACCCCCAGCCGTCCCGCTGGCAGGGTCAGTGCAAGAAGCAGAAAAGGCCTTGGCCCCGTGTAAACACTGCTCAACAATAGGTCCACAGAACAAAAACATCTCTATATTAATCAATGCTGTCTCCAGCACAAATCCAAAACATATCCCCACACTAGCTACTATGAAGAAAATCAATCCTCTCAGCTGAGACCAGGACACAGGCCCACCAACAGTCAGTCAAAAATGATCTTTTGGCTAGAAACAGTATGGATTACACCATAAACACATCTTTGTACATGAACCTTCTGCTGTCTTTAGGGCAGATCTCCCTCCTGATTTCTGACTCAGGAATCAGTCTGTATCCAGCTTTTTTTGAGTTTGATTTAGTGGCATGTAGAAGTAAAGTCCTTGAGACAAGGTGATACTCTTCATATGATTGCTGCTGCAAGCTACCACTTCCAAGGAACAAAAAGTTCCTGTGTATCAAGCCCCTGCGTATGAGACTTACTCCTCCTCTCTAAAGCATCAGTAGTGACAGAATGCAGCCAGTAAAGCAAGATCTAACAACTAGACACTACGCATTTGTCAAAGAGATGCTTCATGCAATGAGAACATCTCATCATGTACCCACAAACCTTTCCTGATAAAACCCAAGGATACTTAAAATTTAGAGAGAAACATTGTCATTTCATTATGTTGTCCTTCAGCTGGAAATATGTCAGGATGGCTAAAACGTATAATTTCCTGCTTTTTATTGGAAAGGTACTGAAAAATGAGACTTGTGCTTTAGACATACTGAACAATGTGTCCATGAAGTTAAGTTGCAATATCTGCAAGTTTATATCATGCATATGGTATATCTGTGTTAATAATTATTGGTTTTGACTTCATATCTCAAGGCATAGCTATTTCTGGGTAGCAAGATAAGACTGAAAACTATGAGCAGAAAAGCAATGCAGTCAAATATTCTGAAGGAACAAAACATCTTTTCCCTCCTACAGTTAATGGAACTTTATTCATCAAAAATAACACCTTAACAGTAAAAGAGAACAAAACAGTTGAAATTGTTTGTGAAGCCTTAGGATGGGCTCCAGCTCCAGACATTACCTGGATGACAAATGACTCTTTCATTGATAAATTGAGGTATGTTACCCGGCAAAGTCAAGGATCTAATGGCCTCCACAATGCCCTGAGCATCCTAACTTTGACTCCAACAGACACTGAGATTTTGACTTGTTTAGCTGACATAGAAGCACTCCCTAACCCTCAGAATGCAACTGTTACTGTTATTTTTGTCAACTCTACTACAGGTAAGTGAATGTTTTTGTACTTTGCCTATACTGTTTTCTCAGAACTGTGCTTTTTGTTTTGTTTTACTTTGTTTTATTTTGAAAAGTCTTTTATTTGCAAATGAAATATACCATGAGATGTGCAAAGGTGATAGAATTAAGACCCAGTAGTCACAACCTGATACCTAGGTTAAATTCACATCTGTGAGAGCACTGGTACAAGTCTAATGAACCACAAAGTTCAACTTAGGACTGAGCAAGACAAAGCAGTACATCTGCCACTGACTCCTACTACGGATTCACTGCTAAAAAAGCTGGCCGTTGCTCCTCAACCAAGTAAACATCTAATGAATTTAGATCTTAAATACCTTTAATTAGGCCATATCTGTCATATTGACAGAATTTGTTAGACCTCATTTACTCAAAGTCAAACCCTCAGGTGAAATTGTTCTCCATAAGATTCAATACCAGTTTTACCACTGACTTGGAAAAAAACCCTGGATTTTACTCCCGGTTTCTGCACACAACCCAGAACAGATTCTGTACTAGCACTTCAGGTGCAAGTAGAAAGTTCTCCATATGAGCAGTGACCATATGAGATGTGATGGAGCTGTTGTAGTATGGTGGTAACATCCCTAGGGTTGCACTGAGGCTGGAACCTAATTGCAGACCTACATATCTATGTAGGAACTTCTATACTGTATACCTATCACAAATCTACTATAAGAAAGCCTTTGTACTTGGTGTATTCACCCATTGCAGAACAAGAATCAGGTCATCAAGAGAAGTTACTTATTCATGGGCCTTATCCCAAACTAGATCAAAGAGCCGTTGGGCTTGCTTTCCTCTTCCCGGCATGGTCTCTTTCACATCTTAGAGGAAGGTAAAATTGTCCTCCAGTAACACATGTGGAATTCTTTGGATGGTGCATTTGGTTGCTTTTTATTGCCTGTTATTTAAGGAAATTCAAGGTTACTTTAATCCAAGCCTGGATGTTGAGCAAATCTCTCAAAAACAGTTAGCACAACCTTGGATAATCCTAAATATTTTTGCTAACCTTGTCAGCATTTTTTGTAATGCTGCTAATCTTTGGCCTCACTTGACATCCCATGAAAATAAAATTCTGTAATTTAACACATTTACAGTACTAGGAGGTTCATCAGGGAAAGGGTGATTTTATCTGGTCTGTGCTGCCAGTGTGGAACAAGGCAAGTGGGACTATCATTACAAATCTGCCTCACAGTCTAACGGAATCCTATGAAAAATGTTTTACTTTTCCAAACCATAACACCATAACAGCAAGTAAGAGGAAGTATCTCCCTGTGGGCCTTGAATCTATGTTTCTTTTTATGATGTGGTGAGCATTATGAACTCCTATAATCATACTGACAGCTTTTCTTAATGAACTGATTTTTCTGTAATGGGTGAACATGGCACATACAAAGACATTTTTATACTGGATTGATGAGGGATTTGGTACAGAAATTTCGACATACAAACAACTGAGAAGTTTGAGTAACAGTGCCTTTTATTTTAAGTATGAGTCATTATTAGCAAGCCTTTTTCAGAAGTACTTGCTTTGTAATGCAGTTGAAAAAGGTCATTTCACCATTCTTAATATGACTTCTTTGTAGTTAGATTGCTCCTAATTACTGACTAAGCAAAACAGAACTATCCTGAGGAAATTAATAAATTCCCCTGCCTACTCATTTGTGAAGTACTGAGGTATCCACCCTCAGTTTCCATAGCTACTCATTGTAAATCAGAAGAGGAGAAAAACAGATGTCATGAAGCACAATTAGTGTATAATTAGTGATTGTATGGGACCATCATTCATTTCTCTTTGGAAAAATCATTGTGCAGCAGCAGAAGACTGAAAATTTGTCAGGATATGAGAATATGAAGTCTTTACATTATTAGAATGAAATAAAGACATGGCATTTAAGACAGAGGAAGATATATAACGTGTATATTACACTTGAAATCTCAGAGCTTGTCCGACTTTTCATGTACAGACTCAGCCTTAGCTGGCTGTTGTCAGGAAAGTATACGACTAGCTTCAAGCATCTAAGGGGTCCTTCCCAAAACTACTGCAATATCAATTTCAGCCTTCACTTCAAAGCTTGAGGAACAGAGTTCCTTCATGTTCTTCAGAAGCAATACTGTCTATTCACAATAACTGCATCCAAAAATCTGAGCCCTCTGCAGCCATCCATCTCCTGGTCCATGAATGTCCTACCTTCCTGCACCTCTAGATCAGTC